AAAAGATGATTCTTCTGCCAGCTACTAACACTACCAGGTTCTTAAAGAGAGTCCACCCATTCCACCTTGCATACCTATCTGAATATAAATATATGTGTTTGAAAACTTGCAGAACTCTCATAATTCATTCTCTTATCACAGCATGTAGCAAAAGCAAAGTCATAATTCCTTTAAGTGTGTTGAATTCACAATATCCGTTGAATAAAAAAATCCCATTGTCTTTCCTCATGGATACTGAATTACTGGAAGACCACTGTACATCTAGTATAGGCCAACAAAATGATATATGATTTCTTTAAAGCAGAGCATTATTTCCATTAGTTACATCAGAGAGCTTTTACCTGTAATTAAGAAAATCAATTATAGGCTTATAACCAATCTCTGACATGAATTAGATTTACAAAATATATGACCTTTAGTTGACTTGTATTTCATTTGTTGAATTGGGTCTCATCTGATCTAGTGATCAATAAGTAGAATACTACAAACAGTATACCTTCTATTTGTCAGATATTATAAATGGTCAGCCTGGTGGATGCAGAAAGCAAACATCTATCGTTCTAACCTCTCGGGGCCCATCTCCTGAAAGCGCCATATACCTTTTCTACTTTATGGCTTTCTATACTTAAGGTACCTATTTCTGTCCCCTTAGAGATGATGTGGCTATAAATGCAAGAATGCCTTACCAACCTAATAGCTCCAATGTGTATTTATTTTGATAACTTTAACTGCCTCTAGCTTTAGGTAGGTGGAGAGGTAGTATATTTTCTAAAGATGATGTCTGCTCTATTTTTTAGGAAAGTCACCACACATTAACGTGCAACTTATATGGCTCTCTCATCCAATCTTGCCACCCTTACAAATCTGAACATTAGATGTTTTTTCAAAGGAATAGAGCCTGGTGGGTAAGAGCTTTAGTGAAGCGGTCAGGCAGTACTGAATTTGAAGAGTCACTTGGTCAGTCACTAACAGAACGAGGCGTGCGACCGTATGCAGGTAACTTAGGTTTCAATTTCCTCAGTTGTAAAAAGTAGATAATGGCACCTGGGATTGCTGGAAGATAATGTACAACTTAGCATAGTACCTGGTATGTAACAAGTGCTTGATAAAATCAATGTTACTTAATAGTATTAATACGAAGATGTTTTTTAAGCTTAACATATACAACCAGCTTGTATAAAAGGCTTGTCCCTGGCTCCCCAAAACAAAGACCCACCAATGTTGCCTGAGAATTACTGCGAAGACTAGGAAAGTAGACAAAATAACTCCTTAAGGCCCTTCTTCCAGAACTCAGGCTAATGTGTTAATGTTCATGTGTATCTGTTTACCCATCTGGTTCCCTTTATGAAGCCTTATCTGTTTCTGAGGGTGGGAGTGGCTAGCTCCTGGGATCCAACCAACCCATTTTGAAGTAGGCTTTTGCAACTCAGCCTCTGTGTGAGTACTGTTTAATATTCAACAGGAATTTGGTATTTGCTAATCCTTTGACCTTAATAGCTCTGACCATATCATTTTCTGCTTACGATCCTAAGCTCCTGAAGAACATGTTTTTATTTAATGTTCTGAAAACTTTTAAGTATAGAAATGCTTAGACAATCAGCTGGTGGATAAGTCCTTTCAGGTGTTGATAATATCCTATAATATGATACGAGGATCTGCCTTTTCAGAAATTGTAAATCTCTCTATGATAGAAAATCACAGAATGGCGAAGGAACAGATAGAAGACTAGAAACCACCTCCCAGGACCTTGGGGCATGCACAGACCCTCTTAGAGGGAATGCTCCTCCCCACAGCATTTCAACACTCTCTTCTTTGCTGCTTTATGGGAATCCTGGTTGGAGAGAGATAAGTGAAAGCTACTGCCCAGCTGTGAGAAAGAGAATGATGCCAGCGGGCTTAGCAAATTATGGTCAGAAAGAGCAGCCTCCCACCTTGCAAATGGGGGTGTTCAATGGAATGCCTCGCCACCAGCAAAGCACTTTCTTCACGAGGAGTCTGTCATAACAGAAAGTGCTTGCACTATAACTGAAAACAGCAGGTTACAAATTTTTTATTATTTTTTTATCTTTTGGGGTCAACTGTTTGGATACAAAATTTTATATACAGGTATGCACACATGCACACATACACACATGCATAAGACCATCTCAATTATGTGAAGTAAAGCAGATTAAAAAGCATAAAGACAATACACCAAAACACTGGCTGTCATTGAGAGGGAGAATATTGGTAATGTTTTTCCTCTTTCTACTTTCCTATTATTTTTTCAATTTTCCATAATCCTGTATTGTTTTGATAGGTGAAAAAATTATTCAAAATGTAAAAGTTCATTATAATTCAGCACATTTCACTTTTTTAGCAAAAGGGAAAAATAAATATTCAAAACAAAGTTTGCCAGTTTCCAAAGCAGATAATGATCTGTCCCACAAAAGACTTTATTGACCCTATAATAAAGGTGGATAATTAGTAACCAGGAAGCAGCTTTCCACATGTTGATGTGAGCAGCCTGCCCCTGCTCCTTCTCTCTGGATCAGATCTGCCTGCCTGTCTTTTTTCGATCAGAGAGGATTGGGGAACTTGGAGGGTGGGAAATATAAGGAGAGCGACATGGTTAGAAATCAGTAAGTAAAGGAAGTGACCATCACCAAAACTGCTTTAGTTTTAGGCTATACACCTGGACTAAATAGCCTGAATTGTTTCACATATCAAGGCGTGTTCCTCTGGAAAATCTCACACATGTCCCTGAGTGAAGATCCTGGGCCTTAAGGCTATCAATACATCTTCACTTTGGAAGGAGCCATTTCCCTCAAGATAGCCCAAATGCAAGACTCAAGGAGGATGTGGGTTTGGTGTTAGCCCAAGTGCTGAGAGCAGAATTTTAACTTTATGTCCCTCTAAAGCCGTCCTGTTATTCCCCTGATCTTGTTTTCAGGAGCTTTGGGGAAATATTTAAGGTTCTTTTCACTGACTTGAACTTCTAGACCTTTGTATCCAGAGAAATCCAAGCCCACCTCACCTGGGGATGGGAGATCCCGCTGTCATCCTGCAATGTCAGTAAAGCTACAGGTACTCAAGCAGCAAGAATCGGGGTTATATTTGATGTTCCCGGGACAAGTGGGTCACAGCAGAGATGGGGCTACATTGCCCTGGTGTGAGTGTGAGTGTTCTGGAATATCTTCTCTGTGAAACCCTGGTCAGGGCTGTATTTTTTTCTACTAAGGACAGGCCCGGGAATGCAGTGGGCTTCCCACCCACCCAGACACATTACCCTCTACACTGCTGACTGTGAGTCCAGGCAGTAACTAACAGGTGAATGGATTTTTCGTTTGGTTTTGGTTCAGGGAGGATGGAGAGAAATGGCCGGGAGTGCCACCTTTAAGAAAGGATTCTATAGGCCAGTTGCGGTGGCTCACACCTCTCAACCCAGCTCTTTGGGAGGCCAAAGCTGGCGGGAAGATTGCTTGAGGCCAAGAGTTGGAGATTAGCCTGGACAACATGTGGAGACCCCATTTCCAAAAAAAATTAAAAATTAAATTGGCTGGGCATTAAGTGCCTGTAGTCCTAGCTTCTCAGGAGGCTGAGGCAGGAGGATCTCTTGATCTCTTGAGCCCAAAAGTTCGAGGCTAGGATAAGTTTTGATCATAGCACTGCACTCCAGCCTGGGCGACGGAGCTGTGCCTCTGTCAAAACAAACAACCAAAAAATTCTATGGAAAATAAATATTTGTGGATTTACACAGAACATCAGTGAAAACTGGCGGGCGGGGGTTGGGGAGATAAGGGACCTAGAGAACCGAGGTGGGGAATAAACCGTCCCGGCGGCTGGAGGGGCGCGGGGCGGGGCGCGGCGGCGGGTACCTGGGTGCCCTGGTGGAAGTCGTCGACGGAGCGCGAGCCCATGAAGGGGAACTGCATGTGCGTGTGCGTGTCGATGCCGCCGGGCAGGACCAGCTTGCCGGCGGCGTCCAGCACCCGCAGCCCGGCGGGCGCGTCCCCGGGCGGCAGCAGGTCGCGCCCCAGCGCCCGCACCACGCCGCCCTCCACCAGCACGTCGGCCACCTGCGAGAAGTCGTCGTTGACCACGCAGCCCCCGCGGATGAGAAGCCGCGACGGCGCAGCCATGGCGAGGGCCCGCGGGGTGGCCCTCCTGCCGGCGCTCTGGCAGTCCCCAGGCTCCGGCTCCTCCGGAAACCGGGGCCCGCGGCCCGGCCGGGTTTAAGAGCCGCGGCGCGGCGGGCTCCTCCCCGGGCGGGGCCGGGCGGGGCCCGGAGAGGGCGGCGCGCTCCCTGCTCCCTGCACGCTCGGACCCCAGAGGCCTGTCCCCGCCGTCTCGGTCCGCTCAGGGCTCCCAGTCATCGGAAGGGAAAGCTCTCGGAGTTTTTGATAGCGAGAGACCTGTGTTTTGCTGCGTAAGACGCTCTGGGGAAAGAAATCCCTTGCGGAGGGTGTTTGCACCGAAAGACAGACACAGGGGGAGAGGGAGAGGGAGAAACGCTGTCACCACTGGCAGCAGCAGCAAAAATGCCCAAAGCCACCCAAGCCAGAACCGAGCCACTTGATCTGGATCTACTTCTAAATATTTTTTAACTATACGAGGAGCAAATTAGCACACAGTCTCAGTAATTGGCAAACAGAGAGTGTGAAACTTCAGAGTGAAAATATGTAAGCTATTTGAAATGTTATCAACTGTTCTGCACGTTTTCATGGTGTAACACATGGCCGGCAAGTTTTTCTTGGACAATTGCAGTCCTGTAACTCTAAAGATCTGGGTTCATACTCCCAGCTTTTCTACAAAACTAGCTTAGAGTCTCTGTCTTCAGTTAAATCCTTTATCCTCTTGGTTTCTTGGTGTTCTCATATACAAAACTGGGTAATAATTGCTCCGGTCTTCCAGATTTGCTTTGAGAAGCAACTGTGATGGATATGAATGCACCTTAATAACATGGGAAGTGCCATATGAATTTATTTTAAAAATGCTAGCTTTGTAAGGACTTTCAGAATTGTAAGGAGAGAGGGCTAGGCAAGGAAGATATTAATAAATATTTCCATCCTCAAGGAGCATGGAGCCAACGGTGACACATGTTTCAATATATAAAACAGAAAACTCTATCTTTGAGAGAGGATAAAGATAAGAATTTAGATGAAAGGGGCATTTATTTCTGACTTGAAGAAAATTAGATATGGAAGATTCACAAAGAGTTATTTGAACCGGGATACAGAGGATATGAATATACAAAGGTGAGCGATGGGAAGAGGAAATGGTGTTCCGGGTAAAGGGAACAGGGTAGGGGAAGGCACAGGAGAGGCAGTAGCAAGTTTAGGGGTCTGAACTCCATGCAGTTAAGCTAGGAGGAGTAACAGAACCCTGGACCACCCTTTTATTTCCAGAGGAGGAGGAGAAAGTAGACAGAGGCCAGTCAGAGAGAAGGGAGATCCAGAGCTATGTGTGGCAGCCGGCAGGAATGCAGAATTTCAAGACAGGCAACGGGATGGAATCCTGCAGAGGGTTGGAGGGTCTGGTAGACATCTGCTGAGCAGGTATATATTCTCTTCCTTATTCTGGTAACACTTACTGGAGTTTCTTTGGTGGGAAATCCTCCACCTGCCTTCTCAGAACACTTGTCCTGAGTGGAATTGTTGGGACTTGAGCGCTCACCTAGCCTCTGCCGATCACAGCGGGGCATCCTCGTGGCCACAGTGATGGGTTCCGGGATGGACATGTGCCCCAAGCAGACAAATCCCGCCCACTTAGAACAGATCTCAGGACTTTTCTTAGGTTGAGCAAACAAGAGGCTTCTTGTTTCCTTCTGGACTTGAGTCCTGGGGTGTATAAACAAGAGGCTTCTTGTCCTGGATCTGGTTTGGTGGGAAAAAAAACTTAAAAGAAACAGTAGAATAGTTTTTAAAAAATGAAAACAAAAACAAAGAGGTCCTGGGAGCTCTTTAGACAACACAGAGAAATAGCCCTTCTGTGAACAGAGAATACGACACAGATACTAGGCCCTCTGCCAGCACAGAGAACAGGAAGGAGAGATGGAGAAAGACTGAGTTCTCATGACACTGAACTCCTAAAGCCCCCCTTCTATACTTTCTACTTTTTGCTTAAGCTGATTTACTTTGGGTTTTCTGTTACTTGCAACAGTCAACTGACAGGCACTAGGAAGATAGTTTCTCTGGCTTTGAAGACTAGGTGGTCATATGTGACCTCCCAGATGGCATTTTCAATAGTGGAATGCAAGGCAATATTATTGCCAAATTTCCTCAAGCTTTAGATTACACAAACCTCAAAAGGCTTAAAAATTAAACAGCATCAATAATTTAAAGTTCCACAGATTTGGCTGTCAAGCCAGGAACAAGCAACCCAAGAAGGTTATGCAATTATTGTCAAGGGACCTTTGTGTGAAGGTGAAAGGGGTAATTATAAACATAATGAAACTTCTACAAGCTGTACAAGTGAGCTTTCCACCCTAGGAAAATAAGATTGGGTGTCAGTGCAGTTGTGCTATCCTTTCTGAAACTGTCCAGATTAATGATTTCCGAGGTTTCTTTATCTTAGACACTTTATATTACCAAATGCCCTGCAACACAACACAAAACAAACTTCCCACATTTAATTAACTCAAACTTTTATCAGAGAAGGGGGCTTGTAAAATGCCATTGAAGGGGGAGGAAATGGTTCATGGAGATTCACTGAGAGCAACAGAAGAGAGCAGAGGGGAAGTTAAGTTCAAGGCAGAAATGCTGGCTGGCCCTTTCCTGTCATCATTCCTGTCGGTTTAGTTCATGGCTGGACCCTGAAGCATTGCGCTAGTTCTTGGGCTCCTGGCTTGCTGGACCTTGGCAACAAAAAAAGATGACAGACGCCCAGCCAGTATTCGTGAAGAATTTATTGTAAATAAAGTTTAAGGGTGCAGTCTTGTATTATCCTGAATAGAGCTGGAGCCCATTCTACTAAGTGAAGCATTATAAGAATGGAAAAACAAGCACCACATGTACTCACCAGCAAATTGGTATTAACTGATCAGCACTTAGTGCACATATAGTAGTAATATTCATCGAGTGTCGGGCAGGTGGGAGGGGAGGAGGGGATGGGTATATTCACATCTAATGTGTGCAGTGTGCACCGTCTGGGGGATGGACATGCTTGAAGCTCTGAATTGGGCGGGGCAAAGGCAATATATGTAACCTAAGCATTTGTATGCCCATAATATGCTGAAATAAAAAAAAAAAATTTTAAAAAGTTTAAAGGTGCAAAGCGAAAGTAAATTTCCTGAGGGGAAGCAGGTCCGTCTCCTCAAGTGAAGAAGATCCTGTCTACTTCTTTGTTTTTCTTTTTATGTGCTAGTAGTTAATGTTTAGGTAAAGGTTAGTTATAACTATTCTAACTATACGTCATGGTTTTGGAGAATGAATTCCTTTCTGTGACTTAAAGATTATATTTTATGTGCTGTGGGGAAAGTTGCATAACTGTTTATGTTATATTTTCCATTCTCTGACTGGTGGTCAGTGTCCTGTGGTCTAATTACCCCATTCTTTATGACTGAAATAACGGTCCTCCTCCCCCCCTTTTTTTTCTGGAATCATTTCCTCCTTTTTTGTTTTTCTAGAACTTCTTCCTCCTTCTCCATGTTCTGCCCCCATCAATTCCCACACTCCAGCTCCCAGGGCGGGAGGCAGAGCCTGGACGGATCACTCGGCAGGGGACTCACCCCTCACTTTCACGTTCACGGCCGTACTCAGCCACTTCCTTTCCCAGACACTCCGGGCCCTCAGTGGGCAGGAAACAAGTGTTATGGGACACAACATTGGCACCAGGAGGACGGTGGCAAGCAGATCTCCTGCTGTTTCATATTCTTCTTGCTGGGGAAGGAATCGATTTGATTGACTAATGTATCAAGGTATGTCTGAGAACACATTACTCCTCAGGGAGCTTTCAAGGGAACTTTTTAAAGGAGGGTGACAAAGAATATTGATGCTTAACTCATAGAAACACGTAAGTGTGGAAGTGTCGGTGAGGGCGAATTGGCAGGAGAACCTTCCCAGCCCTGTCTGACGGTCTGCAGGGACAGAAAGGCTGGGAGGAGCACGTGGGTGACCTACTGCACTGAATGATTCAGATTTTTATAAACAAGCCCACCAGGCACAGTCGTATTTCAGTCCTCAACTATCTTGGAGGAGCCAAGTTTCCACTCTCCTGACTCTTCCCACTCCTCCCATAGGCCCCTGTGGGCCTGGCCAGGAGAGGTTTTCAGGCCATCGTCCCACCCAGTGGAAGGGCCGTCAGCGGGGCAGAGTGAAGGTATGGTGAGGGCGAGTGAACGCATCTGAGTGAGAGAGTTGTGCATCTCAAGACAGCGCCCCTGAGCCCAGGTCTCTGGGAACTCCAGTTCCCCAGCCCACTCGGGGGTAGAATTCCCTGGTATGTTTATACCTGAATCAGTGATGAAGTGGGAAGTGGAAAAGGTAGACAGCATAGAAGGGTTGGAAGAAAACTGAATAAGGAATTAGGTTAGGATCCTAATCCTGTCTCTGATGCCATCTTCTGCAGTGAACTTGGGCAAGTCACTTAACTCTCAGGGTGTTGGTCTCCTTAGCTGAAAAATGAGATGACAAGAGCTTATAAGACCCATACTTCGCCCTTTTATAGTTTTGCAAACAGAGAGTGCCTGGTGTAGTCTAGAATTTAGACTCTTCCTGGGCCCAGGTGAGTGAACTGGAGGCCAAGGGGACTTGCTTTCTAGATTCAGGACCATTTTGTTTGTGGTCTTTCCACAGGGTCCAAGGGGATTTGCTCAGAAGGGAGCTACCTACAGAGTGTAAAACCTGCAGTCGCCAAGGGATGATGCTTGGTGGGACTGGTTTTAAAGTCCTTGGGCTGATAAGCAGGGACAACATTTTTATCAATGCTCGGCAATAATATGCACGACAGGCAGGTCACCCAGCCCCTTGTGGGGGCCATCGAGAGAGCTGGCCTGCTGAACAACTCCAAGGGGTGCTTGTCCCAGAAGCACCACTCCTGGGAAGAAAGAGAAAAGAGTTGCCCCAAATAATAGTATCAGCAACAGCGGCTAAGATTTGTTGAGCACTCACATCAAGTTAGTACTGGCCCAGATTTTTTACAAGCATTATTTTACTTAATCTTCACAACAACCTCTATGAGCTAAGTATTATTTTTTCCTTTAACAGGTGAGCCTTTTGCGGTCAAATGATTTGCCCAAGTTCATATGGCAGTAAATGTTGGAGGCAAGGCTTTCCTGTAATTTACCCATTATGTAACTCCACACTCCAAAGCCAAGTTCAAATGCTGGCTGTACTTGAGCCTCAGGTTATGTAAATGAATAAACGATGATCCAGGAATGAAATCTGACATCTCTGACACTAACTTCAGATCTCTATACCTCTGACTGCTGCTTCAAAGCTGGTTCATATAGTCATTTAAATATTGTGGAGACAGTCTATGTTTTTGCTCAGGTGACTAATGCCATCAGTATTTTAAAAAATTATAAAGCAGTCCTTCCTGTAATAAATGAACACATTTGGTGGGACCAGATCAAACATACGAACATTGACCTGCCTGGGAGAAAAACTTTCAGATACACTGTTGTATAACTCTAAGAAACTCAAGGAAATACTTATTAAAAAGTTCCTATTTCCTATACTGTCTGGTTGTTTTTTGGTGGTTTGCTCTTTGTTAAAGATACTCTGATGCTAAACTGACAGTTTCAAGCATATCCTAGAAAAGTTGATTCTAGTAGTGTATAGTGGTTCCCACTTTTCCTTGAAGGATACATTTCAAGACTCTCAGTGGATGCCTGAAATCGTGGATAGTATGAACCTGATGTGTCCACAGCCAACAAATGCCCGCAGCCACCGACAGCCAGAAGAGCCAGGGAAACATTCTTCCATTCAGAGCCTCCACAAGGAATCAGCAGCGCCAACACCTTGACTTTAGCCTAGTGAAGCTGATTTTGCACTTCTGGCCTCCGTAACTGTAAGAGAATAATGTGTGTTCTTTGAAGCCACCAAGTATGCTGAATTTGTTACAGCAGCCATCAGAAACTAACATACAGAAGTCCCTCATTAACCACACGTAGTTTTGCTTTCTGAGGTTTCAGTTACCCGCAATCAATCTGGTCCCAAAAATATAAAAAGAAGAACTCCAGAAATAAACAAGTTGAGAGTTTTAAATTGTGTGCCGTTCTGAGTGGCATGATGAAATCTCATTCTGTCCTGCCTGGGACGTGAATCCTCCCTCTGCTTCCTTTAAGTGAAAAGGTCAAAGTTCTCAATATGGAAATTTAAAAAAGTCGTATGCTGAGGTTGCTGAGATCCATGGTCAGAACTAATGTTTATCCATGAAATTTTGGAGAAAGAAAAAGAAATTCTTGCTAGTTTTGCTGTCAAACCCCACTCAAACTGCAAGAGTCACAGGTTTATTTCTGGAGTTTTCCATTTTATATTTTTGTAGCCAGGTTGACTCTTCACCTCTGTAATCACATTGCCTTCTCCTCTTCTGTGTCGAATCTCCGTCAGTCGCCTTCTTATAAGGACACTTGTGATTACATTTAGGGCCCACCTGGATAATCCAGGATGATCTCACCATTTCAAAAATCCTTAACGTAATCACATCTTTAAAGTCCCATTTGCCACATAAGATAGTAGTCACAGGTTCCAGGGATGAGGACCTGGATTACTTTGGGTGTTATAATTCAGCCTATCACAGCGCCTATCATTGCTCCCCATGAACACAAAGCTGCTGCCTTCTTGAGTGATGGCCTAGGAACACCAGGCTCTGCCTGGAGGTGTGTTCTGCCCATTCCGCCAGCAGCACTGCCTTGTGTTTACAGAAACTCTATGCTTGGACTCATTCCACTGTGTCACAATTTCCAAGATGCTTTGAGGTTTCTCAGCAAAACATATCCCAGCTTAGGGAAATAAGGAAAGTGTTCCCTTGATTAGAAAGATATAAAACGAGGGACCGGAGCCCAAGAATCGGAGAATAAAGCACCACCAGAAACAGAAGGGTTCTGGCGAGACGATCTGCAGAACTGAGGAAACGGGCAGGAACGAGCTGACGAAGCAGGACACGGACCAGAAGAGAGAGAGTAACTGAAGACCAACGGGAGACTCCACGGGAGGAGGCTGCGGAGGAGCCTGCGGAGGACCACCGGAGCTGCCCGGAGACCAGCGGCAAGGGTAGGTGGAATTGCTTTTCCCCCTGCATTCGGACTGCTGGTGGGCTCCCCAGCGGGTGGAGAGACCTGCGGACACCAGCCCAGAATGCCGCCGCCTGCCAACGGTGAGCCTGTAGCAGACGTGGCACCAGGTGCCAACTTCCTCCGGGCACCTCCGTGTGCACGGACCCGAGCCGCGCGGCAGGCGCCATATTGCCTCCTCCTCCCTCCACCGACCCTACCCGGCTGCCCAGAGAGACAATACAGCCACCAGCTGGAGGCACTCCAGGGAACGGGACCTTCCCTTTGGACCCGCCCGCCTCCAGGTGCTGCTGGCACCGTGTTCCCAGGAAACCGTGCCGACTCAGAGCTGAGAGACATAGACCAGCTTGGGCTCCCTGTGGTGAATTAGGACCGGAAATCCTCTCCCTGGTGGGAATACAGTTTGACTCTGGACCCAGAGGTCGGACCTGCAGACCAGATCCCCTGCACCGAGGCTAGCATTGCCCGGGACAGAAGGGTTATACGTGAACAGCCTACTGAGGTCTGTGTGCCTCCAGGGCGGATCGGCGTCCTAGAGGGCAACCCTCCTCCAGGAGGAGGCGCGCCAGCCAACCAGGTGCGTTCCGTGCAGGGAACTCCCCGCTGGCATCACAGTCCGGGGAGGCCTGGTGGCTTGTGGTCTGCCTGCTGGCAGAGGCCCAGGAGTATTGGGAGTTGGGGAGGGTGGAAAGAAGCGAGCCTGCTGCAGACTGCGGGTTCAGACAGCCCCACCCCACACCCAGACTTTCTGGCTGAGCGGGACCATTCCAGCCCTGCCCTGACAGCTTTCCCTGGAGGCAGAAGCAGAACTTTGACCCTGCTAACGCGCTGAGGGCAGGCTTACCCACCCAGCTCTGCCCAGAACGAGAGCTGATAACAGGACTCAAAATCAACACCATAGCCTGTTCCTCCAAGCAAACGCCACCTACTGACAGGGACGGCATCTTGCACAGCCTTTCCACGGCAACCACTGACTCAATATACAGGGAGTGGTCCAATTTCACCCACAGGCACACCTAACGCCTCAGAACTAAACAAGGTGTGTGAATACCCACAATAACCTAAGGGAAAGAAACACACTGATCGACATGGGAAGAAATCAGCGAAAGAACTCAGGAAATATGAAGAACCAAACAGAAAACACACCCCCAAAGAGGAGCACCAGCCCCCTAGAAACAGACACCGACCAAAATCAGGCAACCAATATGACAGAAGAGGAATTTCGTATGTGGAACATAAGAACATCACCCAGCTCACAGCCAACAACAATCAATAATCAACACCAAGAAACCACAAAGTCTCCAGGATATGAGAAAAGAAATAGACACATTGAAGAAAAGTGTAACCGAACTCCTGGAAATGAAGAATCAATTCAAGGAACTACAAAATACAGTGGAAAGTCTCAAGAACAGGGTAGATGAACAGAAGAAAGAATCTCAGAGCTTGAAGATAACACCCTCCAATTAAATAATCAGTCACAGAAAAGAGAGCAGAGAACAAGAGAAAGAGCAAAGCTACAAGAGCTGTGGGATTTGTGAAGAAACCTAATGTGAGGGTCATAGGGTTGCAGGAAGGAGAAGAAGACAACACTCAAGGGTTGGACAAGCTGTTTGAAGATATAATAGAGGAAAATTTCCCAGGCCTTGCTCAAAATATGGATATACGTTCAAGAAGCTCAGAGGACCCCTGGGAGATTCAACGCAAACAGGAAGACGTCACAACATGCAGTCATCAGACTAACCAAAGTATCAACTAAAGAGGCCCTTCTAAGAGCTGTAAGACAAAAGAAGCAAGTAACATACAAGGGAAAGTCAATTCGAATAACATCAGACTTCTCTAATGAGACTTTACAAGCAAGGAGAGACTGGGGCCCCATTCTCACTCTTTTGAAACAAAACAATGCCAGCCTAGAATGTTATTCCCTGCAAAACTAAGTTCGTATATGAAGGAGAAAATAAAACATTCTCAGACAAGCAAAGGCTCAGAGAATTCACCAAGACAAGACCAGCCCTACAAGAAGTACTTAAAACAGCGTTATGCACGGAACATCATAATAATAATCCACGGATATAAAAACAACCAAAACCCAAAGATATTAAAGGCAGATATTACAATGGCTCAAGACAGAAATCATAGCAACAACATCCAACCCAACAGAATGATCAGTAATCTACCTTCACTATCAGTTCTCTCAATAAATGTGAATGGCTTAAACTCTCCACTCAAGAGACATAGGCTGGCTGAATGGATAAGAAAATACAGGCCAAGTATATGCTGTCTTCAGGAAACACATCTAACCTGCAAGGATGCATATAGACTAAAAATAAAAGGGTGGAGATCAATATTCCAAGCAAATAGAAGCCAAAAGAAGGCTGGTGTGGCAGTTCTAATTTCAGACGATTTAGTTTTTAAACCAACAAAAGTAGTAAAAGACAAAGAGGGTCATTATATAATGGTGAAGGGCACAGTCCAACAAGAAGAGATAACAATTTTAAATATATATCACCAACTTAGGTGCCCCAGATTCATAAAGCAAACCTTACTGGACTAAGCAAATGGATTAATAGCAACTCCATAATCGCCGGAGATTCAACACCCCACTGACGGCACGAGACAGATCCTCCAAACAGAAATTAATAAAGAATAATGGACTTAAACAAACTCTAGAACAATTGGGTCTGACAGACATCTACAGAACATTCTACCAAAATCCACTGAATATACATTCTTCTCATCAGCTCACGGGACATTCTCTAGATTGACCATATCCTAGGACACAAGAAAATCTCAAGAAATTTAAAAAAAAGAAATCATACCATGTACCTTCTCAGATCACAGTGGAATAAAACTAGAAATCAACCCTAACGAGAAACTCACATTTCTACACAAAAACGTGGAAATTAAACAACCTCCTACTAAATATTACTCGTAAATGAAGAAATCAAGACGGAAATAAAACACTTCTATGAAGAAAACGACAATGGAGAGACAAGTTATCAACTCCTCTGGGACACAGCTAAAGCAGTTCTGAGAGGAAAGTTTATCTCCATAAATGCCTATAACCAAAAGACAAGAAGATCACAAATAGACAATCTAATGAAGCGACTCAAAGAGCTGGAAAAAGAAGAACAGACCAACCCAAACCCAGCAGAGAAGTGAAATCAACAAGATCAAATCAGAACTAAACGAAATTGAAAACAGGAAAGCTATTCAGGAGATTAATAAACAAAAAGTTGGTTCTT